TGGGGACGGCAGGTCCGTCCCCGCGGCGCTCGGCTCCCAGTCCATCGCACTGGGGATCCCCCGCTCCCACCGGGAGCGGCGTGGGAGTTCTAGAGCCCCGATAAGAAACAGCAGCCATCCCCACCGGGGTTTTTTGGGGGACACACACACACACACACGAGGCTCCCTGTCGTGAGGGTCGGTCCATCACGCTCTGGCCAGTCTGGGACGGGTGGGAGTCGGGACGTGGCTAGCAAGGACTAGCAACGGGCCATCCCGGGGCGGGGGTTCCCAAGTCAATAGAAGTGTTTCCGGCTCTGCTCCTGCCACTTGTTGTAGACGATGACTCCAATGACGATGGCGAAAACGATGGCAACGAGGGAGAAGAAGACGATTAAGAAGAGAGCCAGGCCGCTCATGGGCTCCAGCGGTGCCTCCACTGTGTGGCAGAGGAAGAACAACAGCCCGTGAGCCCCCAGAGAGCTCAGCGCCCCGAAACCCGGCTGAGATTTGCCTGCACTGTGGGGAGGGGGCGGGGGGTTTAACCGCCCCACACCGACACACCGGTAACCCCACGCACACCCTGGCAGGCTCGCACCACCCCAGGGTTTGGCTTCCCAAAGCTTTTCAGGCCCAGCTCACTGTAAGCCGTGAGACCTCGGGGCACGCAAGGGGCTCGTGGACGCGTCTGCGGTGGGATTTCTGGAGGGGGAGATGACACCGTCGAGGTTCAAACCTCCGCGAGCTTTCCAGTGGACCAGCACACCCCGTTTTGGTCGTGGCACGACCAAAGCGGGGCGGATAGGCTTAGCCCGGCGGGCCAGGGTCCTCCGGGAGGGCAGCACTTCTCCGAGGGCGAGGACTGCTGCCCACTACGCCCACGCCAAACGGAGACGGGCCGTGACACGGGTTGTGTCACACAGCGGGCAAGAACAGCCGTCGGTGGGAGGAACGGGGCACGGACCTCCCAATTCCAGCCGGAGCTCGGCTGGTTTGCTGGCGAGATGACGCGATTTCCGCTCCGCGAGCGCCACAGCTCCACGACCCTGCGGGTCCCCCCAAATCCCCGCGGGGCCCACCTCCCCC